GCTTGATTTGGCAAAGTAAGAAAGGTAAAAACACGCAGATTGACCGGTAGGACTTTAGGTGGAACACCTGTAGCCCAATTTATATTATAACGGAGAATGCACGGGTGCTTTTACAAGGGAGTTTAGAGAGAATGAATTCGGATCCCTCTTTCTGAGGTTTACATGAGTATTTATACTAGGCTAAGGGGACAGGACCACGTGCGCCCACGTGGGGGCATGCTGCTGATGTGGTGCGAGGTGACTGGTTTCGTCCTCAAGCTGCCTTGTCGCCTTGTGAAGGGGATCATTCCCTTTGTCGAGTAGCGCCTTGGATGGATTCTTCAGCATCTCCAGTTGTCCTCTACTGACACGGGTCGCTACACGCCAAGCCCTCGCAGATCCTCTTCTGCCGACACTTTCCAACCCCAGAAACTACACCGGTAGTCTCCGAGGGATGAATTGATCGAAGTCTGGAATAAATAGGATGATAACGTAGTTTGACCGGTATACTTTTTTGTGAAGTGTACCGGTCATATTTTGGCCAATGATATATCGTTTTGCTGACGATTTAAGCCTCCCTTCTAAAACTTTCGAGATTGACCGGTCAAAGATTTGGCCTTCCCCTTTGACCGGTCTTGGGTGAAATACACCCATCAATTTTTATTTTTGTATTATTTTTTTCTTATTTTATTCCTTTTTTTTTGAAGTTCTCAAAAACAATTTACTTTATTCAGAAAAAACAAATATTGTTAATTTGAGATATACATATGCATTATATGTTAATTTTTCAAACAAAAATAACTTTAAATTTTAGGAAAATTATAAAAATAATTTTAGAAAACCTTTATTGATAAATGAAACAAAAAACTGGAAAGAAATAAAAAATAAGCTAGAAAAAAATCAGTATAAAATTACCTAAAAAATATGCACTAATTTCCCCTTTTTCGCTGGAAAAATAGCCGGAAAATAATCAGAGGGGCATGGGTGCACATTTTGAAACTACCGTGACTTTTGTGCTATTTGGCTGCAAAACATTTGACAAATAAATCTGGAGTGTTTATAACTTAAAAGAAAGAAAAAGCTAGGGATACACTATTTGAGTACCCTACTTGTATCCCTTCATCTCCACCATACAAAAGCAAGAAAAGAAAAAAAAATAAAAAATGAAAAAAGAAATGGAAAGTTAAGACTTATATGGTGTACAAATGGGTGTACACATACCATTCCTCTCAAAAGAAATTTAACTTCCATAGTCCATACTAATATTGAACAGTAGTAAACTACAATACACAGGCGGATGCTCCGATCCAAACTGCTTATTACTGATCTTACTAATCAAAATTAAAGTTTTCTAACCACCACTTAATTCTGACCTTATTAATTTATCTAATTACATTTATATCGATTTCAGTCTGTAATTTCAATTCTGTATATAAGCATCAAGCGCATGAAATTCCAACAGTAGAAGCAGCAGCAGCCGTGAATCGCTCGGAGGCCGTTCGCCGCACCAACGACCTGATCTCCGGCGACAGCGCGTCGTACTCCGGGATCGTCGAGAGCGCCGCGCCGCGCGACGGCTCCGGAACAGGAGCGAGGTTCTGGCGCCGCTGTTTCCCGCTGCCAGCGGCGGAATTAGTTTGTTTGTGCCGGAAAACGGATCTGAGAAGCTTCTGGAACGATCTCGAAATCCTGGAAGACGAAGGCGGCGAAATCGATCCCTTCGCCTGAGAAGGCGGCGCCGGAATGGTCCGGCGGCCGCGATCGGGAAGATGGGGCATCGAGAGGCTTCTGGCGGAATCGTCTACGATTATAGCCGAGTGGAGGTGGCGCTCGAAGGACTTGAGCTCGAAGGAGTCGTAGAGGGAGCTTCCGCAGTCCCACATTACCGGCTTCTCCGCCGCGGCGCCGCCGTGCTCCGCACGCCTGCCTCCTTGAGAAGCTTCCAGATGAGTAGCCTGCACCGCCATGTTTGACGATCGGAAGGTTAGTTACGTTGCACTCTCTTTCTCCGTGTAGAATACATATATATATATATATACATACATACATACAGGTAACAGGTAGAATCGCGGTGGGGAGGGGCCAGGGGTAAAGTGGTAAATGTGGGTTTGGATTAGATCCACATCATTTTGGTTAATTTATTTTCCAAAAAGGGGAAATATTATGAGCCATAAGTATGTATAAGTTGGTGGCGTGTAAGATTGTGCATTACACCTTTGCCTTTCATGACTAAACCCACCAAAGGTTTAATTTTACTAAAGAGAGAAAAAATAGAGATTCGAAAAAACTAAAATATATGGCGTGGGGGGCTAAAATTTCTTCCATATTACGTCTTGGTTTCATTTTTGGTTTTAAACTTCTACAATTGCATCAAAATAAATTTTATATTTTACTTTTTAAGAAATGAAATATGTGACTCATTCATTAAGATTTCTTAAAGTCAAACACCATTCGAAAATGGGCAATGCTAGGGGTACAACAACATGGGGTACCCCAAGTGTACACCAAGCCAACACAGACATACACAGACACAAAATGTCTGTGCAACACAGACACTTTGTGTCTGTGTGTGTCTGTGTTGGCTTTGGTGTACACTTGGGGTACCTCATGTTGGTGTACCCTAGCTTAATTCTTCGAAAATTTATCTTTGAAGTCTGTAGTTGACTTGATTTTTTAACATGATATTAAAGCCTTATTGATTTAATACAAGATCAAATTAAGCATCAGTACATTATTGTCACTCAATTGGAAAAAATAATGTTCTTCTGCAAAATTCAAACAAAAACATATCCCGCTTTCATATGAGAAGGCGCGTTAGACTACAATTTTTTTTCAAACTCTACAACCACAACTTTAAATTCTTGGTTAAATTAAGGGAGAAAGACCAAAGTAGAACTAGAACATTGAAAATATACCAAAATAGGATTTCCATGTTTTTTCCCGAAATAGGATTTACATTACCAAACATGGTCATATACATTACAAAAAAGTATAGTAACGTGCACATGTACATTGTCAAATTACCATAGTGCAAAGTCACATTACCACAATATAAAGTCCTATTTCGAGAAAAAAAACATGAAAATCTTATTTTAGTACTTTTCTCTATGCTTTGGTCTTATTTCTGGTGATTTCTATTAAATTAATTTGTTTGACACACAGACTGCATCCGTTCGGAAAATAAATTATTCAAGTTTACCCTACATGTTTAATTAAGGAAGGTAAAAAATATGGCCGGAAAAACTTCTAGGATACTCCTACCCTATTAGTTCAAGTCACCAGAAACGGGGCTCCTTTTTTCATTCTAAAAATTTGAATAAATTCCGTAAACAATTTTTCATCAACATTTTTTGTTTCATATTTTCATCAAGAATAGAGTCATGTCACATACTCCGTATTATTTTATAAAACTTTTAAAAAAATTGATTATATAATTTCTTTTTTTATCTCCAAATTTAAAAAAAAAAATCCAATTAGAGATACATTAAATTGACCGGTGCAAAGCAAATACTCGGGTAAATTTCTTTTTTAAATGGAGGGTCTTTTATATTTTTGCTCAAAATTAATGGCAAGGAAATTAGAAACAAAATGAACCACAAATAATATACGTTGAGGGAGTGGTCCGTTGTTGCCCAAAGGGCCAAGTTGTCCCCCTACATTTGGGATGTACTCAGTACTAAAGTGTCGATTGTATTCGCGAGTTTCCTTTTCGACTTTTTCTTCTAACCGCATTTTCTTTTGTCCAATTATACAAATATGAATTAGCGGTACACTAATATGGTTATTCCATTTGAAACTAACACAGATATAGCTGTACATACATTATGTGTCTATGTGTCTCTATATTAGTTTGGTGTACGATTATGGTACTCATCTAGGTGTGTACCCCTAGCATTATTATATAAATATAGGTTCAATTTATTTTTTATATGAAGTAATAATATTTAATAGAGACTTTGAGGAGTATTATTTTGACAATGACCGCCAATATTATATTGTGAAAGTGTCAATTTAGACACTTACTCCATCTGCTTCATTGGTTCTTATAAGGGTGAACAAGTACCGAACCGATACCGAAATTTCCCGAAAAAACCGAGAATACCGAACCAAAAAAGTACCGAGAAGAAACCGTACCGTACCGAACCGAATGGTCGGTACGGTATTCGGGAACGGTACGAGGTGATGTCCCATACCGAAAATCCCGTACCGAACATATATACTAAAAAATTATAAAAATAATACCCCGGAGTAATATTTTTATATTCCTTCACTAAATAATAATTTTTTTAAAAAAAATTGGTTCAAGTTCTATGATGTGTAAATTATACTTTTATTTGAGTTTTAATTTTTGTGTATGAACATAAAAGTTTCGCAAAGATTCGAAATACGTCTTTGTTGCCATTCATTTTTTCAGTTTGTGAAATATAAACTAAGTTTTGATACACATCTCTTACATTTAAATATTTATTTTTTAAAATTTTTCATATTTTTTATTTAAACTCACTTTTAATTTTCAAAAATAAAAGGTATTGTTAAATTTTAACGTGTAAGTAGGTATGTATATTTATCCCGATTTGTACCGATACCGATACCGAACCATCCCGAACTATACCGAACTGATATTTCGGGATCGGTACGGACCAAAATCCCATACCGAACCGAAATATTTGGTATGGTATCGGTACGAGCTAAATACCGTACCATACCGTACCATGCTCACCCCTAGGTTCTTATGTGATATGTAGATTATTAATGAAAAAGTATAATGTGATATGTAGGGCAAGAAAAAGTATGATTAAAAATGATATTTTAATAGAAAATGAAAGTGTTTTAGGAAAAAACAAAAAATGAAAGACGAAGTGTTTTAAAAAACGGAGGGAGTATATTGCTGCATTCGATTCAGAAGTGATTCTTACCTCTCACAATCCCAATTGGATTGATATTTTAATCAAAATTTTGACAAGAATGCAAGTGTAAAAGTAGCTGAATTGTATGTAATTACACCAATGTTCAAGTGACATTGAACCTTGATGTCAAGGGATGACCCGGGGGCGCTCTGGGACTCCGTTCGTAAAATTGACGGTTCCTACCCCCCAACCCCCGGTAAACCTCCCCACCCGGCCCCGACCTGAACACACCCCCCCACCCCCTTCAATTGCACCCCACAAGTTGATTTTGACTTTGGAGTCAAATTTTAACTTCAAAGTCAAAATCAACTTATGGGGTGCAATTGAAGGGGGTGGGGGAGTGTGTTCGGGTCGGGGCCGGGTGGGAGGGTTTACCGGGGGGTAGAAACCGTCAATTTTACGAACGGAGCCTCAGAACACCCTCGGGTCATCCCATGACATCAAGGTTCAATGTTACTTGAACATTCCCCATGTAATTATCATGAGAATATTTCTCTATCAAGCCACAAGAAAAGGGATGTAAAGAGAGAAGGAAACATAAATTTATCAAATTGCGTCCAATGTGATTAGCAGACTAATATGTTCTCTTTTTTTAGATACGATATATTTTAACCATTTTTTTTGTAAAAAAAAACGGGCTATTGAATTGGTGTTTATGAGTAAACATTAAGTGTTACGGTTGAGGTCTTAAAATTGGCTCAGGTTTGTACACGTGGAGCAATAAGTTTTGAAGTCCGATTGGTCGAAGTGAATGTGTGGTTTTAAAGGCAACTCACACTGGTACGCCTAAGCATATTTCTTTCTGCGTGCATTCTTCTTTTTTTCCAACCTTTTTTGGTCTTTTTTTCTTTTAAATTTCACTTTTTTAAACAAAAAAAGCAATACTCTCACCCTTTCTAAATGAATTGTATTCTCTGAACATGCTAAATTGTGTGACTTTTAAATTTATTTTGTTTATAAATTGATATAGAAATAAAAAATACAATTGATAAATTTAAAAACTATGGAGTATATCAAAAGTACTTGTTAGCCTAGTATTTTATGTATATTCGTTTATTGTGTATTGGGCCGTGTATAGCTTGGGCCCATGACTTGTATTCTCGGTTATCTATAATGGAAAACCCAGTTTTCACGTAAAATATTTCTACATGGTATCGGAGCGATCATAGGGCAAAATCTCGAAACCCTACGCTCGTATTCTCGTTTGTGTGCCGTCCGGTGTGTTCGTCGTCAGTTCGGCGGTGCCTGCTCGTCGTTGGTGCACCGGAAATTAGAGCCTGTCGGCCTTCCTCCGTCGCTGGTCTGTTAGCCGTCAACCACTGCCGTACCAGCTCCCCAACCGCTGGTACCATCACCCGTCACCCCCACTGTCCCGATGACAGCCCAGCAGCCCGCCCAGCCACTGTCTCCGTCTCCGTCACCCTCCCCGTCCCCCTCTCTGTCTGATACGGCCGGAACCCTTGTCCTCTCCGATGATGACGACAGCCCCACTCCCTCCACGGTGGAGACCACTTCTCCACCGCCGATAATTCCCCCCTTCCGCCTCGTACCCGTCGTCGTCCATCTCACCTCAACGACTATGTTCTTAATTCCGCAAAGACTGTCACTCCGGCTCCGGTCACCTCTTGTTCTTCCCCTTCTGGTACTCGGTTCCCTATCACTAACTTTGTTCATTATTCTAAGTTGCATGGTAGGTATAAAGGATTTCTTAGAGCCATTGATGCCACATCTGTTCCCCACAATTTCCGTGAAGCGGTTCAGTTTGCCTCATGGCGAGAGGCAGTGGCCACTGAGTATTCGGCCCTGGAGCGTAATCATACATGGGATGTTGTTGATCATCCTCCTAATCGCCATGGTCTTGGTTGTCAGTGGGTATACAGGACCAAATTTCGGTCGGATGGTACTAAGGAGCGTGATAAGGCTCGCCTTGTTGTTTTAGGCAATCATCAGGAACTTGGTGTTGATTATACTGAAACTTTTGCTCCTGTTGCCAAACTTGCTACTGTTCGTGTTTTGTTGTCTGTTGCAGTGGCTCGTGGTTGACAGGTTGATCAGTTGGATGTTAATAATGCCTTCATACATGGTGATTTACGGGATGAGATTTATATGAAACTACCCCTGGCTATACTCAACTTTTTCCAGGGAAAGTTTGTCGTCTTTGCAAATCCCTATATGGGCTTCGTCAGTCCCCTCGTAATTGGTTCACTAAGCTTCGCATTGCTCTACACCGATATGGTTTTCGTCAAGCCCACGCTGATCACACTCTTTTTGTTCACCAGCGTGGCCCTGATATGTTGGTTGTACTTGTTTATGTTGATAATATTTTGGTGGCAGGTAACAACAAGTCTTTGTGTACGTCATTCAAGAAGTATTTAGATGATTGTTTTCATCTCAAGGATCTTGGTCCAGTCTCTTATTTTCTGGGGATTGAATGTGCTCGCTCTCCGGATGGTATGGTCCTCACTCAGCGTAAGTATGCTCTTGACATTATTGATGATGCCAATCTGCTTGGTTGCAAGCCTGTGGACACTCCATTACGGGTTAATCATAATTTGGCCCGATCTACCAGTGCTGAGATTCGTGATTCTCTTAAGTATCATCGTCTTGTGGGTCGCTTGTTGTACCTAACCATTACTCGTCCGGATATTTGTTATGCCATTCACACTCTCTCTCAGTTTATGCAGGCGCCCCGTCTCGATCATTGGAATGCGGCTCTTCGTGTCCTCCGTTATCTTAAGGGACACCCTGGTCAGGGTATTTTGTTGCGTAGTGACAGCAATCTCGCCCTTACTGCCTTTTCTGATTCTGATTGGGCTAGCTGTCCCCTTACTCGCTGATCTGTCACTGGTTATTTTATTTTATTGGGTGGTTCTCCGGTCTCATGGCGCACTAAGAAGCAGACCACTGTTTCCCGGTCTTCCGCGGAGGCTGAGTATCGCGCTATGGCCAATGCATGTGCCGAAATTCGTTGGTTGCGTGGCCTTTTAGGCGCTTTGGATGTTCCGTGTATAGCGACTCCACGTTTATATTGTGATAACAAGTCTGCTTTGTTCATTTCCGCTAATCCAGTGTTTCATGAGCGTTCGAAGCATATCAATATTGATTGTCATATTGTTCGCGAATGCCTTCAGCGCAATCATATTGTGACAGCTTATGTTCCTACGCGTTATCAGACAGCGGACATCTTCACAAAGGCCCTCTTCGGTCCTCTTTTTCGCAGTTTGTTGTCCAAGTTGGGCATTTATGATCTTCATGCTCCAACTTGAGGGGGAGTGTTAGCCTAGTATTTTATGTATATTCGTTTATTGTGTATTGGGCCGTGTATAGCTTGGGCCCATGACTTGTATTCTTGGTTATGTATATAAACTCCCGCTGATTAATGGAAAACCCACTTTTCACGTAAAATATTTCTACAGTACTATATATCATGCGTCATCAACTTTTAATTGTTTGTTCTCTTGGCTAGCTAGTCTCCTTCATCTGTTGTTTGCAGTAAATCAAATTTTGTCCATGTTGCTTCATTCTGGTTTAACTTTTATTTTGGCATTGTTTAAGTTCTGCATTAGTGCTCTTCATGTCTCAGCTTGAGGGGATTGTTAGCAAATATATTAGGTTTGGTGTTAATCGGCTCCATGTTAGAGGGCTCGTAATTAGGTCAATCTTGTACCTATTATAAATAAGGGATTTATCTGTAATAAAATCAAGCTCAATTATCATAAAATTCTATACATAAAGAAGTGATAAATTATTTTATTTTATCAAATGAATAATTAAGCATGTAAATATACAGAAATTATCAAACAACTAGAATAGTAACTATGTGTCAGAGAATAAATTATTTTGTAGGCCAAAACTACAAACTTAATCTTTTGGTTGAGTTGATTCCTTGACATTATATTAAAGTCTTATTGATCAAGAAATCTTAAGTTGAGATCAAGGTTATATTTTTTATTGAGTTATTTTTTGGTGTAGTATGATTAGAACTTTAACTTAATCTATTTTTCATTTCTACCTATTGGAGGATAATATTTGAATACTTTTTGGAGTATTCAAATACTAAAAGTCCATAAATAATATGCTCAATTTTGCTTAGGTATTCCAATACTAAATTGAGCATTCGAATACTGAAGTTTTAGCATTCAAATACAACTTCAAATTTTCAATTTTAGTCTACAAACATGTTTTAATATTTGAATACTAAAATTGGGTATTCAAATACTAACTTCCATATCTTCTATATTTAGACCCTTCTTGCCAAATCCAAGTATAACTCATTCATGGATATGATAATAGTCATTAATACACACCCTCTCTTTCGTATCCTAACACTTGTTTTTAAAAGGGTGATTCTAAGAGTGTTTCATACCAATAACTTGATTGAAAGAAATATATGCTATATCTTATAGGTTTTTTAATATTCAGTATCTACCCTTCAAGTAATTTTTATTTATCGTTTGGTCTCGATTGTAAAAGAGAAGAAGGAGATTTCTTTTCTTCCAAGAGGAAGGAAATTCCTAAGGTGTATCCTTAGGTGGAAGATAAGACGCTTGTGTGCTCAAGTTTTAACATTATAAGAATTTCTAGATGTTAGACATATATGGCAATAAGTATAGTTATGGAAGAATTGTTGTTTAAGTTAATTTCCATATTTGGTGAATCCCAATCTATGTAGGGATCTCCACCTATATAAACCTCAGCTCCATGTACACAATTATTTCTTATGAGTTGAATTCATAAATCAACATGGTATCAGAGCACGAAGATTCGTGTCTCCCCTCTCCTCCTCTGCGATAGCCTCAGAGAAAAAAATTGGCACAACCGATCTATCTATCTCTCTCTCGTTGTGCCATTGCCGTGATTGGCCATGGCCCCTGTATCCTCTGATCCCATGGATCGTCTTCCTACGGGCCTCAAGTTGTTTGTCCGGAATATTCAATCCCTAACTCCGGCCAAACTAGATGATACCAATTATCCCTCTTGGTCAACCACAGTTCGTGCGAATCTTCTCGCTCATCATCTTCTCAGTTATGTTGATGGATCTGAAACACCTCCTCCCTCTCTTATTCTAGATGAAAAGCCACTGCACTGGGCAAAGTTGAACCCCCGGTCATGAAGCAAAACCCGGCCTATGAATCATGGCTTATTTTTTATGCTCAAATTCGGGCCTGTCTCCTTGCTATTTTCTCACCCACCATTCAGACTCATATTCATGCTCTTCCAACTTCTGCTGCAAGCCGGAATCTCCTAGAGCAACGGTATAATTCTCTTTCACGTACTCATATTTTTCAACTCAAGGAGCGCTTACATAGTGTTAACAAGGGTACCGATTCAACGCAATCATATTTGGACACTATTCTTACCATTGCGTCTTCTCTTAAATTGGCTCATGAAGACATCTCTAACAAGATATTATCTTGTGTGTCCTTCGTGGTCTACCGGCTGACTATGCCTCCCTCAAGCAAAACATTCGCAACAATATTGCCACCGTCACTTTTAATCAAGTCTCTTCACGGCTTCTTTCTGAAGAATTGAACTTATATTTTGAGAAGAAATTATCTCTTGGTGACTCTGGTTCTACCTCGTCCATCGACATTCATAATTCTCTATTTACAAATTATTTCAGACGGGATAATGGTAGAGGCCGTGGCCGTGGGTCATCACGAGGCCGAGGAGGGCCTTACTGCGGCGGTAACCCCAGGTATAATAACCACCCCACATACCACTTTTTACTTAACCAATCTTCTCCATTTGCCTCACATCAATTCTCACCTTCTTTCTGTTCACCAATTTACTAAAGATAATAATTGTTCTCTTCTCTTTACCTCTAACTATTTTATGATTCAGGACAACCTAACCAATCAAGTTCTTTTCAAAGGAATTTCAAATGAACAATCTTGTCCCTCTACACTACTTTCTTGGGCTTGAGGTGACATGCAAAAAAGAACCATCTGCTTCTGTCTCAGGAAAAATATGCCCGTGAACTCCTCCATAAAGCTGGGGTCGAAGATTGCAAACTGGCCCCCACGCCCCTACCTGTACGGCAACCGGAGGAGGGGGTGAGCCGCCCATTCAAGAATCCCACCTTCTTCCGCAGTTTAGTTAGCTCTCTTCAATATTTAACAACTACACGCCCAGACATTTAATTTGCTGTAAATTATGTTTGCCAAAGGATGCATGCACCCACTGAGCAGGATTTTCAATCCCTGAAACGCATTCCACGCTATGTCAAAGGAACCATTGATCACAGTGTGATATTTCGGCGTGGCCCACAAACCATCGATGCATACTCTGATTCTGATCGAGCAAATGATATGATGGATGGACGCTCTGTTACAGGTTACTTGATATATTCTGGCACTAATCTACTCTCTTGGAGTACGGAGAAGCAGAGCCATGTATCACGCTTGTCCACCAAAGCCGAGTATAGAGCCTCTCGGCCGCAGCAGCTGAGGTGATGTGGCTCACCTATTTGTTTGATATTTTACAGATCAAGTTATTCCTCCTCCACATCTCCTTTGCGACAACCAGTCCACCATTTGTCTGACTAAGAATCCGGTCTTCCATAAGCGCATGTAACATGTTGGTACTGATTGCCACTTTGTACGAGAACAGTTAATTGCAGAGAAAATGACGGCTTCCTACGTTCCTTCCAATGAGCAGCTAGCAAATCTTTTCACAAAGGCTCTTTCGTCACCACGCTACTGTGCATTGGTTGCCAAGCTTCCTCTCGTTTCAACTTGAGGGGGGATGTTAGACATATATGACAATAAGTATAGGTATGGAAGAATTGTTATTTAAGTTTATTTCCATATTTGGTGAATCCTAATCTATGTAGGGATCTCCACCTATACAAACCTCCATGTACACAATTATTTCTTATGAGTTGAATTCATAAATCAACACTAGACATCGTTAAACTTAAAGCTTAATAGCGAAATTTGGGTACTATCAATTAGGGGCTTGATGTAGGCGCATAGGTTGGCCCAACCAAGATATATTGTGTGTTCTTGTTTGATGATACTAATGTTTCCTAGTCAAACTTAGTTATATTCATGCAAGGAAGAATTAAATTTTGTGGCTGGGAAAGATGGGATCAATGACGGAATGCACTCTAATCGTGCCCCCACGCCCTTACCCATTTTTTGCTCTCCTTCCATTGGGGGATGAATGAGCTATTTTCAAGTTTGTTTATGTAAGCTTTTCACATTTTGGAAGAAAGTGTCGGATTAAGCTATTTGTACCCAAAGATTTATACTTCAATTTGTACACTATAGGTTTGCACTTTCATTTTATGTCGGTGTAATATTAGGGTGATAGTTCACACAGACACAAAATGTTAGTACAAATTTTATTAACGCACCAACATTTTGTGTCAGTCTGAATTATCTAAATGTTAGTGCATATCTTTGGTGTATTTTTAGGGTACATTTTTTGGTCTAAGTGTAGCATGGTTGTATGATGTCAAAGTTACACATTTTGTCATCTACTCCACATCTCCAAAATACTTCAATTTTTTGTCATTCCTTCTATCTTCTTAGATGGTAAGACAATGCTCCATGAAGTATTAGTTAAGATTGTTGTATTCCTATTTATAGGGAACATGGTTCTTAAGCTTTTGATTAACATGTTTGTCATCATCCTTGGACATGTAAATCTCGAGTTTGATCTTGATCCAATCAGGTATTGTACCCATCTTCGAATAACTTAGCAATCCTATTCACAGGGATTACATAATGGGCAAGTTCTTATACTCTACAATATAAGAAGAAGAAAAGAAAACTAATCTACAACATCACTGCTGAACAGCCTGAACTTATTGGCATCAAGGATCAACTTCCTTATAGAAGAGAACGAGCCGAGCAGCCCTGCGCCTGTAAAGACTATAATGATTGACGTGTTAATCCAATATGTTAGGGATGACTTCGAAGGTTTGAAAGTGATGTTGTACAGTAACATGGGGAGAATGAAATCTAGTGGAATGAAACCGATTGCTCCGACTACACCATTGATATCCCCAAAGAAGGGTAACATTGCAGCCAGAAACCCGCATAGTGTCATGTAGAGGGAACGGAGAATTATCCTTGGAATCAAGTTTCTCCGAGAGAACTTCCCTTTGTTCACATCTGCCGATTTTGTTTCCATGATTTCATATGCCACTTGAGAATAAACCTGTGAAAACGACTACCATAATTATAACTTGTAGGATGTGTTGTGTTGTGAATCAAATGTCATATGGCGCATCATATCACATACCAAACCAATGGCAAGGAGTTGAAGAAGAACAAATATAACCCCGAGACCCAATACCCACGTTGGAGCCAATGGAGGTCCCTTGTCAGGGAGTAAGCTCTTGAGGATGTTTGAATTGGACTTATTTCCAAATACCCAATATCCTGAGATAGCTGTAGAGTAGAAGGTAACTAGAATCACAGAGTAACACATTGTGAGCCCTTTCACCATCTTCCCAGTTGCTGGCGGTGCAAGAGTTGCCTGCATTAAGAAGTGAATCTTATACAATAAATGCTTTCTAAATGGGAGCAAGGGTAATTCATAGACAGTAAGAAGAAGAAAAAATCAATAGGCAATAATTAAGGCCATGTTTGGCATTGGAAGGTGCTTATTGTTTCTCAGAACAAAACTTCTCTATTTGGCATTCCAGCTTATTTTTTCCAGCAATTTGATGCTTATTGCTTCTCCAAACGCTTTTTTTAATTTGCACTAATTTGATGCTTATTGCTTATTGAATATGGAGAAGCGCATTGCTTATCAATTATGTAATGCCAAAGACACTCGATAGCTGAAACGGTAATTGGTACATGGTAAAATGGGTGCAGTCAGGAAAAAGAGGTCGACCTGTATTTCAGGCAGTATCCCATTCCCAAAAATGGCAGCTATAATGGATATGGAAGTGAATGCACTGAACATTCGTGACATCTTTGAAGTTTCTAATGAGTAATCTCTTGACGGTGCATTTTTTGACGTACCTGCATAAAACTGCATACTTTAGTGAAACAACACATTACTTACTCTTCATAGATCCCATTATGCTGCAGGGCTGCAGAAATGAAGGACAAACAATGCATGTTTTGGGTTCTCAGGTAGCTAGAATCGTTTGATTCGTCAAAGAACAAGAACAGAAATGTCATGTGCAGAGGATTTACCAGCATGAATGCAAGCACCGACAACGAGAAACGTGTAACCCAAGCTCAGGAAGAGTGAAACCAGGTTGATGTGCCTTAGGGAGTGGAAGGATGGAATCTGGGAGAGAACTATCTGGACTCCTGTTACTATTGCTACGAAGTCGTACAATTTCAATGATCCATGTGGAGAAAGGTTTGAGTACATGATCTTGTGGCACCAAAGAAAGCAAAAAAGAAAACAAAAAAGAATTTAGAAATTAGAATAAATATACACTTGCAGAATAATAAATTTGCATTTATCTACTTTCTAAGGAAAGGATTTAGAATCGATTTAGTCAGAGAGTAAAGCAACACATGTTTTGTTTTTCTATCTTTCTTTCCTTCTCTGTATGTATAATCTGGAAAAAGGAAAAGTTATATATTTAAGCAACAAAATACTGCAGATGAATAAAGGAGATATGCAGATTCTTCATTGCATTCATCATAGCTCCTTTTTTTTTGAGGCATAAAAATGATCCCATCAGATTTTTTCAGATATCTGATGGGAAAAGGGGATGTGGCAGCCAAATTAAGAAAACGGGAAGGGTATATTTGGTACTTATGTTCAAAAGTAAAAAAGGGGAAGGAGGTATGAACAGAACCCACAAAAATGTGACTCCCTTCCTACTTTTTCTTTTTCAGCTATCCCAAGAAGAAATCTCTATTCCACTTATGGAAAGAAATTATTGATTCCCCAAAAATACGAAAATGAACAAAAAAGACAAAAAAAAGTGGGAGGAATTGAGTATGGTATGAAACAACATAAACTAAGGGCCTGTTTGGAAATAGCGTTAGAGATTAACGTTAGCGTTTTGAAAAGTTTATCTACGGGCAGCGTTTAGCGTTAGCGTTCTCAAAGTAATCTGTTCCGTTAAAACTTTATCCAAAACGTCAACGCTAATCTCTAACGTTATTCTAAATTTACCTGGATACATTCTCCAGCAAGCAAAATAGATCCAATGCTAATTCCAGTGTTTATGGCGGTTTGAATGAGTATCACAAAGTAAAACATCCACCCAGCACCTGTAATAAATACCTGTTAAAAAAGGCCAATCCGGATATCTCCTATATGCAAAAGGGGCTAGTTAAGTACTCCGTAGTAATTAAGCACCTAAGACGTCGGCGGCGAGCTCGCGGAATCGGATATGGCGCCGCCCAGACTTCTCACAGTGGTCAAGCACAAGGGACATGAGGTAGTAGGCGTAGAAGGTGACGAGTCCCATGGCGGTGAGGCAGAAGAATCCGAGGCCCCAGCCCAGTCCCCGGAATGTGTACGGAAGAGTCAGTACGGTGGGGCCCACTATCGCCGTCGTCAGATGGAACCCGGCGTGCCACCATTCCCCTGCTCTTGTACAACAACAACAACAATCCCTACTCTGAGAATCATAATCATGATCATAATAATACCAAACCCTTGATCGAGGAATCCAATTGAAAGCATAATAATACCTTTGGATTCGAGGACGAAAGCGGCGCCGGCGTCGATTCCGGGGCGATCATCCGCCATGAATCCTGGATCTGTAACAAATCTGTATGCCAAATGGAAGAAGAAGAAGAAGAATATAATAATGGATTGTAAATTGGGAGTCGATCGCCTGAGGACGAATTGAAGCGTCGGGTAAGAGTTTATAGTTAGTTGATACGTAGTCTAGTGGGAGACGTTAATATGGGGGCGGGGGGATATGGATAAATGCCATTCCGCTCCAACTCTATCTATCCACAGTAGTGACGTTATCGCCATTGCCGCATCCGTCCAGAGCAGAACTTCGTCATTCTTACTGTTTTTTTTATTTTCTTTCTTCAATACAGAGAATTAATAATTCCGGGTTGACCCTCCTTTTAGTCCTCATCATGAAGAGAAGAGACAAATCAGACAACCCAACTTCCAACTAGAGATGAGCAAATGGACCCAAGCGGTCATGACAGGTTTTTAGAAAAGGATTGGATCGGACTAGTATTTTTGAAAACCCGGTCCTAACTAGTCCGGTCTTCTTATCAAAATCAAAGACCAAATAAGGCCAATAGTCCAATCTAATCCGGTCGGTAGTCCAATCCGGTCCGGTCTCTATTCCCAATATATTGGGTCAAGATTGCAATTTGCGATGTTGTGCCAGGATTACCAAATAGTCCATCAACTCTTTTCGCATCGGTCGAGATTGCATGTTGCACTTCGCTCGCTCAATTGCTGATTCTCTAGGGACTATCTTTACTCCTATAGGACAGAGTGTTGTGACGTTTGAGTTTATCTTGAAACTATAAGAAAATACTTAGCGGATAGGGGAAGCCGAAAAGTATTAATCATTTCTAATTTGTATTACTCTATATTATTTTTTAAAATTTTTATACGTACTACTCCGTATATACTCCGTAATTTACAAGTAATATAATTAGACTCTAGAGCACTAGTTTTTTGGACTAGTGCTAGTCTTTTGACCAATCTTTTACTAGTCTCGGACTGGTTGAGGTCCTTAACATGTCTTTTACTAGTCTTAGACTAGTCCTAGTCCTCTATAAATATTAAGGTACATTTGAGACTACTGGTCTTGGACTAGACTAGTCTCAAGGACTACTTCAGTCCCAATCTTTCAAGTCCAAATTCTAATCAGTCTAGGTCAATCTTTTCAGTCCCAGTCTTTATGTTCTTCTCTACTTCCAACCCACCCCCAAATAAAAGGACATTGGTTGCTTCTCCTTTACTCCTCCCTCCATAATTCTTTAAGTAATTTCATAATTGGTTTTTTATAGCACATGAGTTTCTATATTTAGTTTTCTATTATCAAACATTACTCTTGTAGTTCTTTTAGGGGTGCTTTTTCACAAATGAACCTTTTTTTGATCTTTTGTTATATTGGTGTTAATTTAAAAGTTTAAAATATAATTTGACATCAGCCTTATGTCGAGTGACGTATTCTTACATTGGTTACATGGATAACACAAAAATAATGACTATGATTGTGGGCTAGGACTCTGACGAAAGACCACATGTATTGACTATGGTTGTAGTAGAAAGCAATTGTAATTTACAAACGACACATCAGAGCGGTCTTTGGAATTGTGTATGACAAGAAAGATATATTATCTTTGTGAAATTATATTTTTAGTCATTAAATTAACACCAACATGATAGAAAATAAAAAAATTATTCGTAGAAAGATACTCATAAAAGAAGGATAACCGGAGTAATAATTGATATTAGAGGACTAAATAAGAAAATCTCCATGTTATAAATGACCAATTATGGAATTTCCTCTTGTTTTTAAATACTTTCTACATTCGATAATTTTGTTTGTTTATACACTTCCATGTCTTCCATTGATCATTTGAGAAGATGAAATATACTTATCATCTCTTATTTTTGTAGGATTTTAGATATATTTTCGAACGGTATAATTTATAATTTTTATTTGAGAGAAAAACCAAAATAACACTCTAAGGGCCTCAAAATACTCTAAATAGCAATGTTATATGTTTCATACTTGTGATTCTGATTTTGTCCTTTAATTAAACAGTAAATATTCATTACACACTGCCAAAAAATATGACTGTTTTGAGCAGTGTGGTTGTTCACTTGTAACTGTGTAGTCGACAGTGATTTTTTATGTGAGTATTTAATGTGGTAGTGTAGAATAAATATATATGTTGTTATATCTTACGGCAGTGTGTAAGTGTATTATTTTGTTCCTTAATTTCATGTTGGAGTGTAATGTCCATTGATTATGTGTCAGTGTTTTTATGTATAAATTCTACATTGTCAAAAAGTGTATGACTGTTTTCATGTATGAATTTCACACTGTCCAAAAAATGTATAGCTCTTTTTATCTATGAATTCCACACTATTTTCATGTATGAATTCAACACTGCCAAAAATGTATATAACTATTTTCATGTATGAATTTCACACTGTCCAAAAGTATATGACTGATTTCATAAATAATCTATTACACCAAAACACACTAGCCAAACATGGGCGTTAAATATGGAATGTAATTTAATGCATACGATCTTGTGTGTGTTGTGTGTGTGTGTGTGTGTGTGTGTATATATATATATATATATATATATATATATATATATATATATATATATATATATATATATATATATATAAACTGCGTAGGAGGATCTCGCAGAACTATGCTAAACGGCGTAGGATGATGTTCTCGCATGTATCAGACACGCGAATGACGAGGAGCCTCACGTATGAGGAGGAGTGGCTACGTGAATAACTTAAGTTTAATCAAATAATTTAAAGTAATTAAAAATAGTAGAATATAATAAAACGTAAAGGGTATGCTTGAAAGATATATTGCCAAAATAAATAGCCAAATTCGTATAAAAGATTAAGGAGTGCTATATGCGTAATATTGAGTGACTTACAGTGCTACGTAGGGTGATTTCTATTTTTATTTTTTTTACGAATTTATAACTAAAATGATGGGATTTTGCACGTTGTTTTGAGTGTGGTATCCATTGTGAGACGGAGTAAGTTTTTGATGTGACTTTTCATAATCTATTACTCCCTCTCTCCTAAAACGTTTAAATATATAAATTTTATCATCTAATTTCATACCTACAACCAAATAAATTAATTTGAAAATAAAGTGAGTCAAACCTTGTAAATAGAAACAGGAAGAACATTTTAAGATACTTTTATCTTTAATATATAAGGCTATAGTTCCCCATTTCTTATTTTTCTCTTGTGCCAACTCAATGTCACGTCACGTTTTCATCTTAATTCCGTTTCTTTTCCCCTTTCACGGGTGTGATTCCCCTTCCCTCCCTCTTTCAATTTTTAATATTATTTTAATTAGAATAATTAAACTAAAAAACATAGAATATAATAATATACTAAATTAGAATTTAACTCTAACATTTCATTAAATTAAAATAAAAAATACAATAATAGTGCATCTAAAACAATATTACGTCTAAAAAATACTTAGATAAAAAGATAAAAGTGCATAAAAATACCCACTGAAAATAATAATAGTGCGTCTAAAAAAATCAAAGGACCCTTGTTTGGGCTGTAAATTTCCGCACCTCCAAGCCACCTCAGGGATATCTTATCTTTCATCATCATCGGAACCACTTCACGCTCCGCTGAACTAAGAATATCATCGCCGGTTCTTATTATTTTCAAGTCTTCTTGCTGAAATTGTTTAAGTGCAAGTTGCTCTACTTTTTTCTTATGCTTTTGCTCAGGCCTCTCTGCTCTCGCTTGCTACTTAAGCCTAAGCCTCTCAGTTTGCAATTAAGTAAAGGTGGACAACGTAGTGGTGAGATGCTCGAACCCTTTAACGAAGGGTTCAGCTGCCATGCGGGAGGATCCCTCTCCTTTTTGCTTGATCCCTCATAATGGGTCTTTCCGGCTCTGGTGTTGTTGGTATGTCGTCACTGATGCTCGACATCCAATGTGCATCGAACATAGCGGAACTGTAGTTGCACGATTCAGACATTTTGGTCTGTTTCTCCCGGGCGATCTCGTTTGGAACCAGGACCTACTTAGTATATTAGTTTAAGATTTTTCACATCTTGAGAAGCCCGGAAATGTAAAACATTATGGCGCTTGATAAATTATCAAGCGCCAACCTCAACACCTCATCGTCACTCGTATCGCTTGGACGATTGGGATTTAAATATGCTCGAAAAATATGAGTGGGAGGTTGGCACGGAGCTCAAAAAATTGGAAAATTCATCACTTGAGGCTGCCTATGACCTGAAACCAACTGTACGTAGTCCATACTCTTTAGCCAAGGGTCAAAACAATCAACCTGCCATTTATTAAAAAAGGATGAGCCCCATCTCTGAGGGTCCCTTCAAACTTGTTCGGATCGCAAAGAATGGAGCATGCACCTAATACTTGCAGATGCATGTCATATGCTTTACATAGTTGCCTCCCAGCGCCAGTTGCCAGAAATCGAATTCGAGTCTTACCACCTTGGCACTGCTTACTTTTGACAATTGCGCAACGCCCACCAACACGAACTTGCGATTTATGCATAGATGGAGATGGAGATTTTTTTCCTTTAGAAATGGAGTAGCAAAAATGCTAGGGAACCCCCAATCTTTTAATACCACTTTAATTCCATGTTTTATTAACAAACAAACCCAATCAACTAAAATAAAAATTTTCATACGTTTAGAAAAAAATTAAATTTCTACTCCTTCAGTCCGAGATTATAGTGTTTTCACTATTTACATTATCAAATTTTATTCTTTTATTTAAAAATTAACTTCGCTACTCTTATTTGATAAAATAATATAATTATGTCGCATCTAGTTTCAAACTACTCCCTCCGTCCTAAAACTTTCTTCCCGTTGCGCAAAACAAAAAAAAATCCCAAGTTTTTTCAATCAGTTTTATTTAAATATTGGTATAGAAATAAAAAATAAAACATACATATTTAATAACTACATCAAAAGTTCAACAAAACAAGTGGTGACAAGAATATTTTATTTAATCATATAGGCCATGAAAAAACACAAATAAATATAAATTCCCGAAAAGTTGGAATAGTGCTCTGGGAAGAAAGTTTTAGGATTGAGGGAGTACTTTTTATATAAATTTTTAATATATACTCCCTCCATCCCAATTTATAGTGCCTGTTTCAGTTTACGACATTTGACTGAAATTATTTTCAAATCATTTTATATGACAAATGGTATAGAATTAAAAAATAAAAATTACATATTAAAATATTACATCAAAAGATCTACTAAACTAGTAGTGACAATAGTAATTTATTTTATCAAATTGCTAACGAAAATAGAGAAAGAAC